GAAACTTATTCTTTATTTAATTGAAAAAGCCGTCAAAATAAAATTTATTAAAAAGCAATTATAAACAATATTTATTATAATTGCAACATCAAGCAATACAAATAAAATTATACATTAAAATATCAACTATTTTAAACAATACAAAAAAAAAAAACTATTTGCATGACTACGTTATTATTCGACCCCAAATAATTCATCCTGCTCTTCTTGCGAAAGCAATACTGAAGAAATCTGAGAAAAAGACTCATGTTCAGGTGTGGCTTGCCTTGATCATTTACCATTGGAAGGATGTGTTACAAGTTCATCATCCATGATTAATTCCGCAGAATCATAGCTAGGGCCACCTTGCTCAAAATCATTCTAATTAAATAGAATAAATAATTAATATTAATACCGCTCTCGTAATAAAACGATTGGTTACTAATACTTACCAAATATTTATCAATACGACGCAAAATCCGTTCTTCTTTACATAAAACATTTTTTGATCATGGATTTAGAAGAATATTGCATACAGCCAGTGCGAACGCACAATGATAGTTGGTCAAATGCAGGACGGTGGCCACGCTAAAAGCTGTTCTTGCAATTATATTGATCCAAAGGAGACCTTCATCATTTTGCTCAAAAAGAGCACAGTAATAAGCTTGGACTTGTATGTTTTGCTTCCATGTGACTATATCACCAGGAGCTGCATTGCTCTTAAGCGGTGGCAGCTTTTCACGACTGAAGATCTTCCAAATGGCAAAGCGAACATTTTGTAATGCTGAACCACGATGGTTCTTCATCTTTTGCAAAAGTTGTTAAAAGATAATTAAATAAATGGCTGTTATTTTATGGCGACCCATTGCCACGATGATCCTGTGATCGACCAATTAAAATCGATCACGTGATCGATGATTTTTTTATTATTAAAGTTTATTAAAAAAAAAAAAAAAAAAAAAAAAAAAAAAACTATATAAAAAAAAACTTAATTACAAAACAAATATACTATAAACTTCGTTGCATCGTTATGCAACCAACATCTAATCTACTTAGTTTAAAAACTCACCCACCCACCCGCTTTATTCAAAATTCGCCAAAGAAAATTCGATGAAAGTTTAGCAAAGAAAGTTCACCACCAACGAAAGTTCACCCAAGAAGGTCCATCAATGAAAATCTAACGGCACGAGATTTCTAGCAACGAACATTTAACAAGTTCAAAAATGGTACCAGGATCATACAACGACTTCAAGACGACGACTCTAAGAATGACGACTCCAAGAATGACGACTCCAAGAATGACGACTCCAAGAATGACGAAATTAAATCTGGAATCTGAAAGAAAAAAATTTAAGTTAGTATGTGAAGAATGTAAAGAAAAAGAAAAAAGAAAAAGTGGAAAAAAGAGAACAAAAAGAAAGCGTAAAAAAAAAAAAGGGAGATAAAGAAAGAAAGTGAAAAAGGAAACATAAAAGAATGGAAATATAAAAAAAACGGAAGAATAAAAGAAAATAAAAAAGGAAAGTACAAAAGAAAAAAAGGGCGAAAAAGGAAAAGAATAAGAAAAGGCAAAAAAAAAATAAAGAACGAAAAAGAAAATGGGCGGGAAAAAAAGAAAAGACTGGGATAAAAACGAAAAGATAAGAAAAAAAAGAAGGAAGAAAAGAAAGTTAAAAAAAAAAGAGAAAAAAAAGAAAGACGAAAAGCGAAAGGGCGAAAGAAAGAAGCGGTGAAAAAAGAAAAGAATAAGAAAAGAAAAAGCAAAGAAAATAATGAAAAAGAAAATGAGCAAGAAAAAAAAAGTCGAAAAAAAAATTTGAATGAAAGAGCAAAAAGACGAAAAGAGAAGAAAAAAAGAAGAGAGAAAAGAAAGAGAGAAAAAAAAAAAGGAGCAAAAAAAAGAAAGACAAAAAAGCGAAAGGGCGAAAGAAAGAAGGGGGTGAAAAAGGAAAAGAATAAGAAAAGAGCAAAGAAATAATGAGCAAGAAAAAAAAAACGAAAAAAAAAACGGGGATGAAAGGGCAAAAGACGAAAAGAGAAGAAAAAAAAAAGAAAAAAAAGAAAGGGAGAAAAAAAAAAAAAGCAAAAAAAGAAAGACGAAAAAGCGAAAGGGCAAAAAAAAGAAGGGGTGAAAAAGAAAAAGAATAAGAAAAAAAAGCAAAGAAAATAAAAAAGAAAATGAGCAAGAAAAAAAAGACGAAAAAAAAACGGGGATGAAAGGAAAAAAGACGAAAAGAGAAGAAAAAAAAAAAGGAGAAAAGAAAGACAGAAAAAAAAAAGTGAAAAAAGAGAGATAAAAAAGTATGTGCAAAAAGTAAAGCAGAAAAAGAGAAAAGAAAAAGATAAAGAGAAAAAAAAAAAAAAGAGAAAATGAATAAACAAAAAAGCAAAAAGAGGAAGAAGCGAAAAAGAGGAGTTTGGGCCCTATAGTTTAGTGGTTAAGCTGCCAAACCCCCACAGACTAGGTCGACGGTTCAAGTTAGGCTGGAGGCAAAAATCTTAGGATTT